TCTCTCTCACACACACACACACACACACACACACACACAACACAAACACAAACACCTCTCTCGCTCTCTCTCTCTCTCTCTCACACACACACACACACACACATTCCCCTCTCTCTCTCACACACATACACACTCCCTCTCAGGTTCTCTCTCACACACACACACTCACACATAAGCCCAGCTGCCCCGCTCACCCAGACGAGGCGCTCAGTCGCGCTTGGCGCGCTTGCGCGAGCTTCCCAGCATGCTGTAGTCAAACTCCTTGCTCGACTTCGCCTTGCGCGGAACGTCGACCTGCGATTGTGCCGTCAGCTGCAGAGAGATGGCGCTAGCGTTCAGCTTGCCCGGCGCCGTCAGCAGCTCCTTCATGCCCCACATCTTGTGGCTGCGCAGCACCACCTGGTGGACGAGAAGAGAAACACGTGGGGAAAACAGAGTTATCGGTGGTGCTCCGCTTTCCCGCGTTATCCACATAGACCGGGATTGCTGCAACCGTCCATCACAAAACTTCGCAATCCATTGAATCCAACGCTTAATAATTCCGCACCTCACCATCTAAGGCCACCCTTTTATCACCACTCCTTCATTTCCCACCTTATCCATGTACCCAGCCCGATTCCTGCAACCGCCCCCCACGACGAAATTTCAACCCTTTAATTTCGCACCTCACAATCTCAAACCACCCTTTTAACACCACTGCTTCTCTTCCTACGTTATAACATCACTACATCATTCACCCATTCGTCTCATCACCAACTACCCAAACCACGCACTGCTCACTCTATTGTCTTCACCACCCCCTCACCACACCACTGCAGTCGCACACCACCCCTCCGCCTCCCTCCCTCCCCTCCACTGGACAGCTCGCTGGCAGGGCGACTCATCCCAGTGCACTGCACCCCTCCCCCTCCCCCCTCCTCCCTCCTCCTCCCTCCCCCTCTCACCAGCGTACCTGGGGCGTACGCGTGGATCCGCCGCCACCGTTGCAGGAGGAATGGCTGGACAGCTCGCTGGCGGGCCGACTCGTCCCAGTGCTCTGCGGTGGGCTCTCCGCCTCCAGCATCGAATCGACGGACAGCCCGACAAAATGGCCGCCGTTCGCCGCGCCCTTGCTGTTGCTGAGAAAGTCGAGCAGGTCGGGCGCGGCGGCGTCGGTGAACGGCGCCGCGCCGTCGCCGCTGCCGAGTAGATAGTCCGGATTGAGGATCGCCTCTCCGCAGGCCGCCGCCAGCGCCGCGATGTTCGGGTTGACGTCGCCGCCATTGTTGTCGGCGGCGAGTCGCGTCGCGAGCGAGTCGAGAAAGTCCTCCGTGCCGCCGTCGTCGACCGCGCCTCTGCCAGGGGGCGCCGCAACCGTCGACCGCGAGCTCCGCGTCGCGATCAGCCGTGGGAAAAGCCGCGGCGGCGTCGGCGACGTGACGGCGAACTTGCGCGGCGGCGCGGTGGCAGCGGTTTCCGCGCGCAGCCGGCGGTCGGGAACGTGACGGCCGAAACTGCCTCGCAGGGGCCGGGCGGGGGCGGTTTCGACCGCGCGCCAGGAGCCGCCAGGCCGTAACGCGTCCCCCCCGCCGCGCCGCATCCCGCAATCAGCTCCGGCACGCCGCGTCGTCGCGACGCCGCGACGACAGCCGTCCCGCGCTGCCACCCGCGCTCGGTCAGTCGTCCGTAGGTGGTTTTGCGTCGTCGGACGTGACGACGCGGAGCATCGCCGGCTGAACCGCGCGGCTCGAAGCGTCCGATCGAGGCGACGACGGTAGACTTCCGCCTACGGAGCCCACGACGTGCCCCAGACACGGCCGGGCGTCGAGCATCTGCATGGGCTCCCCACTCGCAGATTAGCACGGGCTCCGTCAAGGCAAAGCGCTAGCCAGTGCGCCGGAGGACACACTCGAGGTCGTCGCACGGTCAGCGACGCCGCCGACCGCGCGCGGACAGCGTGGCCAGAGGCAGCGATACCGCCGACAAGGAGCGCCAGCATCCTCGAGGTAATGACGGGGGAGACGCGATAGGGGCGACTAGGCGCCGCCGCCTAGTCAGACGCGAGCAGCGACGCCATCTTGACGACGTGCGGCATGAGGCTCTGAGGTTGGCGCAATCGAGGAATTACCGTTGGATCAGAGAGTTCACTGCCTTCGTCTTGACGGCTGTAGTTGGTAGCTAGCGGAAACGAGCAACGGACAGACCGCACGGCCTACAGGACTACGTTACCGGCCCGGGAGAAGCGAACAGATGATACCTATTTCTAGATGAATTAACTTTCATCGCGATCATTTCATCTATGAGTTCACATAAAAACAGATAAAGTGGTGATAGCAAGATTATGACTCATAACACTAAGTGAGGAGTTTATCGATGCCGCTCATGGAAATGCTAATTAGAGACTTCACTATGGACTCTAATCTCGGAAGATAAACTTTATTTTTATGCATACATCAGCACTATTTCATGGCTAAGAGACTAACTCACTGCCATCTTAAAAAACTGGTCACGAGAACGGTTCAGGGACAAGACCAAGGTGAATGGAACACTTTATTTAGAGGGGGAACCGAAGCCGTAGGTGAATGAAAAATGAGGTGAAGAAAATGTACGCGACAATTTAGTCAAAGGGAGAAAACAGGGGGTAATTCGGACGGCAATCACGAATGAGTGTGAATGAAATTTTGTGATTAAAGGACTCAGGAGCGTGAATTGACACCTTGAAATAAGTATTTCATCACGGGTGGAAACCTAGGAACACTAGCCAGCGTACAGCTGCAGTCTAGGGTTATAACCGAGCGTGGTCTCGACAGCGGAAAGGCACCTGGTATGCATTGGCGGAAGCGTAGATTAAGCTACCGGATGCGGGCCGCCGCAAGAGCGACTACATAACATCCGCGGGCATGACTGATCACGCCTAAGATATAAACTAATATCCTTCTATAATTAAATTAAAGATAGATTGAAACTATAAAGGAATTTAAATAAAATGAAATAATGGTAAGTGAACATTCTCCATAAATAGCTTATGATATCAGGCACGCTCTCAGTCAATATAGAGGGTATAGATAAGGGAAAAGATATTAGAAGGTAACTCCTGGGACCGGAAACTAATGACACTAAATAAAATTAAATAAAATTTAAAAATCGTTGTTTTTACAAAGGAAAAAATATGAGGAATAAGTCTAACCGATTGCATACGTGACTCAGTTCAAAGACGCGTCATAGCTACTGATTCTCGGCCTGTAAACATGCTAGAGTTGTTAGAAGAGCTCATCCTTCAAACGATTTAAGGCTATGCACTGAGGGCCTAAATAATACTAACAAATAAGATCAATAAAATAAGAAATAATATAAATAATTACTGAACTGAATGAATAATAAATAATAATACAGTAATAAATAAAATTATAAAGAAAACTGAGGATCAATCGTTCGATAAAATTTAACACCAGGGACATAAGTTAATCCGTAGACATTACAGCAAACACAGGTTAAACTAGCGGACCTGTAGCAGCAACACGGCTCTCACACTGCGCGGTTTCACGCAACACAAGGGTCAGCAAGGCAAATGGTCCGCACAAAACACAAGTTAATGATTAATAAAGTGGGTGTCAGCCACACAACATGTAACCACACTATGGGCCTCTACACAAACCACCGTCAAATAGTTAAGTGGCAATCATCGGGGTATTCCAAAAAACAGAAGACGTGTAGAAACTGGGGCGCTATCAAGAAAACACAAGCTAAGAACTGAGGAGCTTTCGATCACCCCCCAGGGTGATTAACTGCTAGTGTTTTTGGAAGAAGAACCCCGCATGGAGCCTTAGTATGATGGCACGGCACAACCATTTAATTATATTATGGAGTGAGGACAATAGACACAAGGTAGTCCGCCCAGAGCAACGGGACTCTGGATCGACGTCTCATGCACCGGAGACGGCGAGGATCTAGCTATAAACGTCAGCGCTAGGCTAATAGAGGAACTAGTCATGAGTGGCACGGAAGGTGATTCGGAGCTGCCAACGCTGAGGAGCAGTGGCCACTATTACGAACATGGAAGGCAGGGCGCAACCGGACAGAGAGTAACATCAGTTTAGAGTATGATACGCAGCGCAAAGGAGATACGTCAGTGACCGAAGCTATATGCGAGCAGGAGGAGGGTGTGAGAGGGACGGATAGCGAAGAGTCGGGATTGAAAGGGAATCGAAAAGCGGACACGTAGAAGAGAGGGACAGCGGGGACAGGGAGGGTGGGGGGCACAGAGGCGGGACGATATCTAGTGGCAGCAGCGCCCGGCCCGGCGCAATGCCGGCAAGACGGGGAGTTTGGGACACCTGAGAGTTGGCGATGTTCATTACACTGGGTATGCCGATGAGACCCGTGTGGAGGCCATAGCCAGGTGTTCTACTGATAGATAGATATGGCTGTCGTCATGATTGTCAGCAGCGTATCCTAGTTTATCTGATGTGATACACACGGAGGGTGTAGAGACAATAATGGGCGAAGAGGGCAGCTATAGTCCATGGAATTACTCATCTGGATGATATGCTAGAAATGGTACCGAACGTAGGTGGAATAAGGTGGAGGTCAGGGGAGTCTCTACGTGTATCCACGAGCTACGCGCTTTGGCGGGCCACCGTTGCGCATGGTCTGCGTGCGCACCAACCTCACGACTGCTGTCTGAAGAACCTCCGTGGGGGACCTGTCCCACTAAATCAGCTGCATGGCGTGTGCCGTCGTCAGTTCCCCCGTCTAACCTCAAGCATGTTCGCGACCGGTTCCCCAAAGCTGGGAATAAAAACGCTAATCATGAGAGAAGTCATCAGCCCGAATGAAGTAGCGAGGGTGGAAGGGGCCGGAGGGGCGAAAGTCGCTCGACCTCCAGCATCGGCGCTGTGGCAGCCAGGGGCAGAAACGAACTCCGGGAGCAGTCGGAGCCAGAAGGCCAGCAAACACACGGACCTGCAGAGTTTGTACCGGTATATGCAAGGAAAGGCGGGCACCACAAGGCCTCCGACAGACATACACACCGTATCACCGTTTTTCTGTCCCCGTCTCAATTTACTATTCTCTCTCTCTCTTTATCTTACTTTTCTCTCTCTCTCTTAAGGATCCTCATTGAGAGAAAGGGACAACAATTTGGAGAGACCGCGGCACGGTTACTGCGAGTGAGATGTCACTTTTAGCTAAACCACCCGGGGCTGGAGATAAGCTTTCTTGCCGGTTATTCCCGGCTCGAGTGTAAAGCGCAGTCAGTAGAACAATCATAAACGTAAGTATACGCCTCGTCCTACTAAAACGTAGTTTCGGTTGGCGGCAGGGCGGCCGAGGATACAGCTTCGGCATGGAGTGTCGCCACACTCGTAGACTGATGGGGCGCAGTGGACGCCACGCGCCATAGCTACTCATGATATATGTTAAGATCAAGATGCAAAAAGTAGAGAAAAATAGTAATATGTTCACCCTGAACTTATGATGCGAGACAAGACAGCGGACTAACACATACGCGTCAGGGATATACTCTTAATGGCAGCGTGTTCAAAAGCAGATCTAAAAACCCGAGATGAGAAGCTCACACCAACTTGCGCAGTCTCTACAACTAGGGGCCTATAGTGGGGAATGCCACGAGCTAGGGGGCGCGAAAGGGGCGAAGGACCGCACGTGCAGAGAGGCTGTCATCAATAAGGGAGAAGATCGGTGGCATCGCTTCCTACAGGAATCGAGATTGAGCAGTACAACGCAGCATAAACAGCTTAAGGGATCCCATGTAAGTTTTCAGCGCAGTTGCTTCAGCCTGTGAGTGAACACCGATGCATTCGCACGAGACGTCTGGCAGAGCAAGCAAGTTCATCGCATACGAGAGAGCGTGCCCAGCATGGGCTGCCTGACGACAGAAGACGTGTTTTGTGCCTTGTGAGATTCACTGATTGTCAGGCTGCAGGCTAATGCAGGGTGCTATAGACACACTGCTTTAGAAAATTCATATGATTATAAGGGCGTAAACCTTGATTCAAGACAAACATTTGCTTTGCACAGTAAACTGTGCAAACGATCCGAGGGTAGGTAGAACAGCATTGACACGATATGGGCATCTAAATAATAGCAGAAAGCAGTTCAGGTCGCATGTTGTTGACGAGGGGACACACACGGTACGATAAGATTACTAACCCTCCTCTTGGAGGAGGTACAACAGAAAAGGGATGGAGAGTCGACGAGGTCTACACGGAGGCATCTTGCGCACCCTGTCAAGTCCCAGCCATAGCGGGACAGTGCCTTCAGAAGGTGGGCGAAAGGGTCCCCTTCAAGAAAAGGCCCAATAGTAACAAATGGCTAGGGTCACCGCGCCGGAACCACAGACGAAGTTCCTGGGTAAGACTATCGATACGAGCGTACAGGAGGTCACTGAACACTCCCGAGAATCTCCAGGACACAAACTGCATGCTAAAATCGGGCACCTTAGGGAAGGCCATGACCTTTGTAACAAAGGTTGACTCCAACTTATCGGCCCCACACCCACGCTGGATGGCTTTGTCCTACCATGATGTAGGATACACAAGCCGACTATCACGCGAGCTAGGCCGGTGCGCGACATCCGGTCGAGCCGTTTAGATTTTTGTGCGCATTATGCATTTCTTCCGTCATACCTGAAAGTTAAGGAGGGAATGTTCCCCCTTCTTTTACACCTTCTTGACCTTTGGAACCTTTGACCCAGGATCGACTCCCAACTCGTTTGAGATCCCCCGATGTCGACCGAAGTATCGTGACCGTACTGTCGACGCGGTTTAAGATTTGTGCCAAAACTGTTGACGCTGAAGGACGCCACGGAACGGACGACGCACGGACGGACGGACGATGCAAGCGATTCTACAAGTGATCTGACGATGTCAGATGATGCTAAAATTGAACAAATGCAAATCACGGGTAGAAAATTTTGTAAAATTTGGCCTTCTGGCTTAGCGGGAGTCTGTAGCACCTAACGAAGCTACTTACTGTTCTGATAACGTCTGCTAGCTGCTGCCCAGTTTCTATCAAAGGCTTCGCCTTAAACTGGTGATGCCTGAAACACGCGTAATCACATCTGATATGAGACTTTTTTGTTTTTGGCGGGCGGGCGGCCCCCACGGCCTCGGCAAGAAAATTACGATGGATGTGTATACCGCTGTGCGTTACCCCGGGAATCGTATGGTTAATGCCGGATAGTATTGGAGTTATCGTCGTTAACGATCATATAATAAACTCAAAAGGATCTGTACTGTACTATCGAAAACACACATCTTTACCGGATTCCGATAATACCACACCATGGTTAATTAGGTACCTCCGGGCGGAGCGACGTAGGAGACAGATATTTACCGCGCAAGAGACAATAAACTTACATAGGTAGCAGCATATTCGAAACGGGTTAGCGACGAGCGAAGATAGTCTAAGGGTGAGCACAGTATATATTAGGACGGCAGCGGAGGGTGTCGTGATAGTCCGAAGAGCGACGAACTGGTTCATGATAACGTATACATAGAGGCGACGGGATGGTGCGCCCGGTTACGGAGCTGAAAACTTATACAGGATAGGCTACGACGGTCAGTACAACTAAAATTACAATCAGGCGTTTGCATCGAATACTAGCCAGGCTGAACAACAACAGTACTACTAACGTCTAGCGGATCGTCCTCATCGCGCATAATAGCAGAGAGCGGTCAGCCCGCCGGCAGGCTGCTGTGAAACAAAGGATATATACGCCGTGGCTAATCTATTTTTTAGGGGGACTGAGCACGGCGTGCGTTGCGGTGAACGCTCCTCATGGCCGGGGGCCAAGGTACGCGGGCGTTCAGGCTGCGTCGGCCGCCGCGAGGCCGCGAGAGAGCTGGTCCACGCAAAGGCTTGCACCCTTAGTCACGCGACTTACGTTGTTATTACGCAATGAGACTATTGTGCTTTATCGTTACGTTATCTCCTCTCTTTATTTCTGTATTACAGATGACATCGATACGACCAATAAACAGTTAATTATAGGTTCGTACCAGGAGGAAAACAGCGCTGACGGACTACAAGCGCGGGCGCCGAGGATCACGGTGAAGACCCACGAAACTGGTACGCTGAGAACAGGAGCCGTGAATTAAGTGAGCTACCGGAGCATAGTGTGCGTAGACCAATCGATACGTCCGTAACACGCAGGAAGTTCGGTGTCACCACCTAGAGCATGTGTAGAGGCGGAATGCTAAGTCGAGCTACCTGGGCCAGGGGATAGACGCAGATAGTATAGGTGATCATGTCATAGCGGATCGCATACCTGTGGTGCAATAAGTGGAGGGGCGGCGCCGAGATA